GGGGGGTAAGTTATAAATGAGTTTTATTCTTACTAGACCACCCATTTCAAAAAATAAATTTGATAGACTAACGTGTTTATGATTATCGGATCGATCTGGTTGTTATATGATGATTTACACACTATGTTGAAAAAATACTAAACAATTTAAATTATCGATAGAGACCGTAATCTGTGAAAAACTGCTCCCTTTAGATGGATTAACCTCTGAACTTAGAAGAGAGGATGAGAAAGCATTTCTCTCTCTTTAGATGTTTGGATCTTGTTACACCATTGTTGACTCCATAATGACTTCCATCCAAATGTACGACAAAAAGGATTGAAAACCCTACTTTTGGAATTTGTGATCCCATTGGCAATTGCAAAAGAAAAAAGCAACTAAATAAGCTTGTCTAAAGTGTGCCATAAAGATTTCACACATATTAAATGTGAAAATGTCATTCTAAATACAATATCACACACATTTCATAGAAAAAGCCCTATGCCAATTCAAACGAAAAATACTTCTCTTTTTTGTTTTCCTCTCTTTTTTTATTTTTTGAAGTAAACTCAAAAAAAAAAAATAGGCCTTTAAATTAAGAAGTAAAGGTAGAACAATTCCGTCGCCAAGAATAATTTTTGTTAGCCAATTACATTATATTATTTACTTTCTGATTTGTATAGTCGAGTGTAATTAAAATTTTAATTTTTATTTATTTTATAAAAGTTTACAAAAAAACCCAAAAAAAAAAAAAAACGAAAAAAACAATCCAAATACCCTTATAGAAGATGATTTATTATGATGAGCAATTCAATTTGTTATCAAAACACTACATACATTCGAGCCAATAACAATTGACTATGCTTAGGTTCAATAAGTATCAAAGATGTCCAAACACCTTGCTAAGCCAAAAAGAGTAAAAAAGGACAAAAAAAGAAAAGCTTAAGCATAAAACATTTGCACATATTAATAAGGAAAATGTGTGAGAGCTCGAATGGCTCAAAAATATTATCTACCGTAAGGAAATCAAAAAATACCTTAAACGACATCGTTTTGGAATTTCGAGCCACTCGAGTCATTGATTCGAGCTACGTAGCAAGTCGCGATTAATAACTAGCATTACATCCATACACAGTACCACACAAAAATTGAAAAATAAAAAATTAAATAGTAATCAAAAAAAATTAAAATTAGTGATAAAAAGAGACTAAAATCAAATAACTTAATTAATTTCATAACATTACAATATTATTATTTTAGTCTTGTTATCAATTGTGTTCACATATTAAAACAAAAATGTGCTATAATATAAATAAAAAAGATAAAGGCAAAAATAAATTAAAAATACACTTACGGTAAAACATAAAATAAATTATGTCAAGAAATTTGTAATTATAGCTTATCTTATGTTCATTCGATAATATAGCAAATCAAATGTGTCAATTAACTTTTTTTTGAATAACTCAGTATCCCCAACCCTCTGATTTTAGGGAAGTCAGACGAATCTTGAGGGTATTAGCCGTGAAAAGCCGGACACCCTTTGCACAAACTGCGCAGCACCACCCAGTGGGAACAAACCTGGACG